GAATTCCCCTGTGCAAGTCATTCAGGGCCTGGCAGTCTTGAATGCACCTTCCCCCAGTCTGTTGGGAAAGATATGCAACACAGCAAAACAACAGCAGTGGACGGGAGGGAGAACAAAAGAGAAGGGTTTCAGCTACCTCAGCTGCTACTGGAATCCTCAGTGAGAATATGCTTTGGTCAGGGACCTACTCCATTCACCTAGCACAGCAATCCTGGATATCCTGCAGGGCAAGTGCTGAGGGTGCTTGCTGGGCCTCCCAGAGACACTGCAGACATTCATTTAAACTCCCATACAGAACTTAACCCAAAAGCCAAGTTCTTTTGAGAGAGAGAGAAAGGACAGCTGCCTTTGGTGTATGTCTGGGAAGGGAGCACTAGATGAAATGGGTAGAAAAAGTTCATTTCAGGCTCTCATGTCCATTTATAGAAACAGAGGCATTCCTGCAAAAGCCACATTGCTATTTGGTCAGCACACCCTCCCACACTGAGCCACATCCAGGATCTTGGAGAGTTAGCCATAGAGCACTCCTTGTGATCCAAGTGCTCTGATCCACCCTGCTCTTTTTTTGTCAGGGAGGGAAAGGAGACAGGGCTGGAGAATGTCAACCATTAACTACTATCACTACAAGCAACTATGCCAACATTAGCTACTGCCACTAAAATCCTCTCTATTCTGATAGCTAAAACTGAGAGATACAGGGCCAAGCTAGAGAGTTGTGAGACAGATCCTGTCCATATTTCTAACAAGGAACCATTTGAAGGGATGGGAATCTTCCAGCAGAGACAGAGCAGCTAAAGATCTAGAAGTCCACTCTAAGACTGGAAGACAGGGACTCCACAGGACATGATACCTTTCCAAAATGCTTCTTAGACTTTAAGATGCTGCCTTCCCTGAAGGGCAAAAGGTACAGAACAAAGTTATCAGTGAGGCATCAAACAATGGCACATGCCCAGCACAAACAGCACTGTAGGATCACCAGCTCAAAAGCAATGGCTATTCAGATGCTGCAGACCCAACTACATGGCAAAACCCACCTCAGCCACTATCCCAGGCAGACTCTTTCCCTCAATTCAAAACAGATGAAAGGACCCTCCAGGAGTGACAGAGAGAACATTTCCATGAATTTAATTCACAGCTTAGCACCAGGTTTGTCCATTTCAAAAGCCATCACCTAAACACTTCAAGACTGGCACTCCCAGAGGCTGCAGATACCACCTAAAACCTCTGCCTCAGGCTGTTTCTGTTATGAAAGCCCTAAATATCTAAAGTCACATTGCAGCTATTTCAGAACAGGGACAGATCCTAAGATCAGTAAGGTGCTACATGATTTTTTTCTCTAAAGCAGAGCTTAATATAAGGCTGAAGTTTTCTTTCCTCCCAAATCACATCACTTTTTTTCAAGCCATGCTTAAAAAAAATAGAAAAAAAGGCAAAATTACTGCAAAAAGATAATTTACCAGGCCCGCATCCTTACTCCCAAGCCTATCAGTGGCTTGTTTCTTTGTCAAAACAGCAAGAAACGGGAACAAGGTCTCTCTCAACCAACAAAAAACCCAATACTGGTGGCAAAGCAATACAAACCAAATGCACAAATGTTCTTTGTCTGTGCGCAACACAGTTACATACTTCTCTGAATGCTGCCCATGCCCCTTGCCCATCAAGTGACAAACTGCTGCGCTTGGGTTTTATGTATATCTCACACCAAATAAACTAGTAAGAGTGAGATATGCACAAAACCCAGGCACAGCAGTTCAGCATGCACCATGGCAGCTGAAGGACAGAGCTGGTACCTGGCCATCAGACTCCCTCTTATCAATTTCAAAATGCCACAAAAACTTACCTCACTACCTAAACATCCCCCCAGCATGTTAGTTCTGTCATGCCAAAGGACAATCCGCCTCCTCATCCCCACATTCCAGAAGAGCACCTGTGCTCAACGGAGGGGCAAGACCTGCTGCTCCAGCAAGCACACACTCCTGCCAATGCCACTATCTCAGGCTCCTTCCCACAGCAGTCCTGTCCCCAGCGAGAGGGATGGACAGTCTGCCATCAGCACAGAAGGTCAGAAGCCTGTTTGCTGCTGCCTGCCAGGTGTGAACCACAGTCCCAAACAGGGACACAGATGATGAATCAATGCAACTAAATGGAAACAGCATGGCCTTACTCAGACTGCTCTCTCCTACCCACCTCGTGTGTGGGACTTCACACAGATATCCAGCACCGAGCTGCTCCACAGGGAGCACTGCTGATGTAGCAGGACACTACTACTGACAGCTGCATTTCATAAGAATGTCAGACAAATCCCTGCCAGTATTAAAATGTCTGAAGAACATTAGTGAACTCTCCATAACACTTCTGCTTCTTTACCCTAGATCTTCAGCATGAGGAAGAGTCCCCATATAGATTTTTCCTAGTCTTTCAAGCAATGAGAAGCCAGTAGTATTCCAATAACACTAATATATTAATGCCAAGGCATCTGACAGGCAAACTTTATTCTATACCTCCCCACGTATGAGCTTCCACGACAAGGAAAAAGAATGGAAAAACACCTATGTATCTTCCTGTTAAAATGTGGAAAAGTAAAACGTCATGAAAACCAGCAGGGGGTAAACAAGAGAATATGATCACGTCCACAGGTGTTCACACTCTTCTAGAAGCTCTCGGCACTGATTCAAGAGTGCTCAATCTAATCTGTTTTTGCACTTCAGGTACCACAGCCAACATATGGCCAGAAAAAAGTGAGGTGATTCTAATACCTTACTAAGGATTGTTTGTTTTTTTTTTAAGGGCATTTAACACCTGGTTTGATTGATTCAATCATTTACTCTTCAGGGCTAACTTTGAACTTGAAGGTTACCATCAGTCAGCAAGCAGAGGCGGTGTCCTGAGCAAACATGGCCCTGGCAGACCCGACAGGGCTTCTCTCAGGACAGCACTGCTGAAGTGCAGCCTGGGGCCAAGAGAGCAAGAGCAGAAAGAGGGCAGGTATACCAAATAAAGAAGCAGTGACACTTCCCTACTTCCTCATGCAGTTGCTTGCAATTCTTAATGGAGAGGGACAACCGTGCTTGGTATTCAATAATAATAATAATTAAACTAAGTGACATGGCAAGGAAAGGAAGACCATGCAGTTGTAGAGAAACGAGCATAGGGAATAATTTACCATACTGCAATTACAAAACCACTGTACTATATACCCTTTGCTAACACTCTCTAATACAGTCTTTAACTACAGTCAGGAAAAATGTATGCCTCTATTTCTTCTCCCTGCCCAACCTCACCAATAATAGCTAGTTTTCATTCACTGGGATTATGCCTGACTATGGGAATAAATAGGTCTTCCCTATGGAGTATGCTCTGTCTTTAGTCATTACCATTTCTGATTTCTCTGATTCTCTAAAAGGAAAGTCTGGGCTTACAAAGCCAAGTCTATGTACCGAACTGAGGTCTCATTGTTGTGTCAGTGCAACCACCAGAGCAGTGTGGAGCACCAAAAGGGCAGCTAAAGTTTGCTTTTCACAACCGTTACACTAAGCCACTCCTTTTGGGATGCTCATGACTCCACAAAGGCAGACAGCCTCATTGTTTGGATTTCTAATGCACACTGTTGTGTAACTCCACCTGAATAATTTTTTTAAAGTCTGACAGCAAAATGCTCAGTTACTTATTTGCTCATGCCAAGTTAGATGCCTTCCACTCTAAAGATTCATTTAAAACCACATAAAAAACAGCCCACTAGAAGGGATGATTAGAGCAAAAAGGATAGCTTAGGTGCACTCAAGTAAAGAGCAGTATGTTTTCTCTCTCCTGAAGACGTAAAGCAGTCCCCTTAATTCCCTAGTGCTGTTCTGCAAACTTCTGTTCCTCAAATACCATCTCCAAGCATTCACCTCTTTTTACCGCAGCAGTACCTAAATAAATACAGAAGCACAGGAAGAAGCAGTCTGCACTAGAAGCTACCTGAACTGAAAACCACTCAAATCAGAATGGCAGTCACTCACAGGCTGAATCGTCCAGGGTGGAGCACAGTGCCACATGCAGAGGAGTACACTGCATCTCAAAGTAAGGGGCACAGGTCCAGCAGCCAATGCCACGTTCCACTTTCCTCTTCTTTGGGTCAGGGCTGCAGAGCCAGGCTCACTTCACTTAGGCCTCATTGCATCAGTATTGGCTTATTTACTTCATTCAGCTGAATGAGCAGGTGTTCCGGTGCAAGGGTCAAGAAGATATTTCCCTGATCCTTTCAAAGCTGCGTAAAAAATTATCTTCTCTGGCTACAAGAAAAGAGACTCACAGCTTGAGCGAGTGTGGGTCACTGGCCTCAGACACCTGTATTGGTAAAAGAGTGCTCAGGGAGCTGACCTCACACTGGCCTGATGGAACTTTTCTTTTTCTCAGAGCAACTGCTTGTGTAAACACTGTACCTACTTTTAAGAGGTATGAAAGTGCTAAAGTCCTTTTCCTCCAGAGCCCAATGACAATGCTTTCAGCAGATAGCTAATCTCCTTTGTCCCATCTAGTTGTCGGCAGAAAGCGAACATCGCAGTGTCAAGTCCAGATGCAACTGCAGGTTTGAAAGACACTCTGCCTGAAGCAGTTTCTCAGCACTGTGCCTTCCCCCCAGGCTACCGAACCAGAGGCCTGGACTTGGGGATTGGCACACACAGGAAGTGAAGGGCACTGGAGAAGAGCCTCAAAAAGCCCTCTCAAAGCCAGAATCATACCTAACCCCCATGCTGCCCTGAACTTTGTAGATGGAGGTCCCACTTGCCTCTGCCCACTGTTAGCCCTCAGGCTAACACCAGTGGCATCCTTCCAAATACGAGATGCATTTTCCAGAGGGAACTTCATGTAAGTTCGTGTTATCCCTGCGGCTGCCCTCCAGCCCTGTGCATCCCTCAGCCCTCCCTGGTTTGTTCCCTCAGCACTTCCAGAGTCCGGCCAGACAGCTGACAGCCCGCCCCACAAGCGCAGCCAGCCGGGGTGCAGCTGCCCATTACCTGGTTCCCAAAGACCGCAATGGAGCAGGCGGTGGAGACCTCCTGGGAGCCGAACCAGACCGAGGCGATGCGTGAGGGCATGCCCAGGATGAAGACCTGGGCCAGGCCACAGATGACCTGTCCCAGGACAGTGACGGGGAAGAGGTGCGGCTTCAGGCTGCCCAGCTTCACCCAGGCACCCAGGGCATTGAGGGCCGAGCCGGCCAGGGCGATGAGGCGCAGGCCCTTCTTGTCCAGCAGCCAGGCGACGGGGAAGAGCAGGGGGATGTAGATGAGCATGTAGCTCATGGAAAGCCAGTCGATGGCGAAGGGGCTCACGGCGTAGAAGCGCACGAAGACGTTGTTGATGCTGCCGTACTGGATCCACTGGAAGGCGTTGCACAAGGAGTAGCTGCTGAAGAGCAGCAGTACGGCCCAGCGAAGCCGGGACAGCTGCACCTCGGCGGCGGCATCACCCACTCCTCCCGCCGCCGGAGGTGCAGCTGTCAACGGACTCGGCGCCCCGGCGGGCTCCCGCAACACCATGCCAGCACTGTGGGCCGCGCCCGGCTCGGCCCGGCCCGGCCAGGCTCAGCTCCCCGCCGGCACCACCTGTCCAAAACACCCCGGCCGGCCGCCCCCGCCGCGCTCACTGGCGGCCGCCACGCGGGGAGGTGCCCCCGGCCCGGCCCTCCCGCCCTCCGCCCCGGCCCTCCCGCCCTCCGCCCCGCCCCGCCGCCAGGCCGGGGGGGGCTCGGGCCGCTGGGCGGCATGGCGCGACCCACAGCGCCGGGGCACTGACGGGGCCGCAGCCCTGCCCGGGTCCGGCTGCTGCCCTGCCCGCCCCGCAGCAGAGGGGCCGCCACCCCTCCCCACGGCCGCTCCCCGCCCCTGCCCGGCCCCGCCGAGAGGCCCCCCCGGCGTTCCGAGGGCCGGGACAGGAGAGGCTTCGGCCGCCAGAGATGAACGGGACGTGGGCTGAGCAGAACTGTGATCTGGGGGAGGTTGTGAGCCGGTGGGCAGTGCCCGACGCCGCCAGAGGTGCCAAGGTGGAGTCCTGGAGGAGGAACCGGTTTGGGTTTCGTTTGGGTTGGCCTCTGATGTTTTTTCTCACAGCATAGCACACTAGAGAGTGAAAATATCCAGTGAAGTGAAAATTAAAACATCTCGGCGTCACTGAAGTAAAAGAGCCAAAAGTGGTGTTTGTTTCCATTCTCATGAGGAATTCGCAGTTAATGAGTCAGCGCTTGTTTTCCCATTACTTGAGCAACACACCACTGGGAGATGCCTGCCTGGAGATCATTTATGATCTACAATTCATTTAATTAGCATCATGTTACCTAAATTGCATAAACATTCCTCAGCACAAGGACGCAGATTTGCTGGTGTTCAGCCTCCTTCCAGCGTTTAATACACAGGTCAAAATTCATTTGGAAAAACGGGAACAGTGTGTTTTGGATGTTGTACTCCTGAAACAAAGGAATACAGAATATGAAAAAGTGAAGTTTTTCTGGCTTCTATTTACTTGATAGCTGCATCATAACAGGGCCTTTTTACACACTTGGCGGAGCACTGTCAGAGGTTGTTGCTGCTGTCCTCTGAGTTATCTACCTACTGTCAGGGGCAAAGACAGACAGCTGTGATGCCTTTATGTTCTTATTTACCATGAAAGAAAACAAACAAACAAAACCCCAAAACAAAAAAGCTTTGCACAAATTATTGCAAGGAGCACAAATGTCAGTTTAAGTGGTTCTTGCTGTGTATCCTCACAGAGCTTGTTTCTTCTCACCTGCTTGGGTTTTTCCTACTCCCAGAGGTGGCCAGAAGCAGAGCTGGAGATGAGCAGAGCCAGTGCAGTCTTCCCTATGTACTCTGCTCAAAGTTCCACAGGGCAGAGCTGCAAACCATCCTGCTCTCTCCCTCCACAGCCCACAGCTTTGCCAATGGACCTCAGCTGGGGTGCTTCTCATAACAGTACAGCATAGTCATAATGTAGCCCTTTTACATAATAAATATGAGAGGCAAATTCAGAATCAAAAGCCAGAAAAGAGGTTTTCAATCCCATTTGTTTCTAAATTAGGCAACCAAAGTTAGCTTGAAGCTCTGCACTGAAACAACAGAACGAACAGAGGAATTTGGTGTAACAAATTTGTAATCTAGATGTTATTAGGAATGCAATGAGTGACAGCAGTGCAGGTAAGGCAGAGGTGAAATGGAGCAGGAATAAAACTATTATGGTTCAACAATTGCTTAGTCTGAGTCTAACAATAAAAGAGTGAGATAGTACAGAAGATTAACTTCTGGGCTGATAAGACTTGAAAATATCTTTATAAAATTCTCCACAATATTATACAGAAATCAAAATTGCACAGAGGTAATCACTATCATTGATCAAAGAGCAGTTGAAAAACAAAGTCAAGAAAATAAATATACAGGCAAATTTTAGGATGGCAATCTGGGTTTGTTCAGAGGACCATAATTTATTATCCCTTTAGCACTGTAAGGAATAAAATTTGCAGATGGATAAGACATTACTGAGTTAGTCAAGCCTAACTTAAATATGTCACCTACATGTTGTATTAAGGCTAGAATGACTTTGGGACTGTAGCTTTAGCTGTCTGTAACTGAAAGTATTATCACAGTCCATGGCATCTTTAATTTGTAAACTCAGATAAATGCAGGATAATGGAATTAGGTACTGTATGGCAGACTGGTGTCATAAGGTCTCTGGGCAGCAAAGAGGAAGATATCAGTGACTGAATGGTTTTTAGAAAAAGAATAAGCAGTAAAAGTATAAAGAAAACAAATTAGGAATTAAGGAGATACTGTCACACACCAGAGAGACACAGAGAACAGTTAAATTTCTTAATGTAGTACTTAGAAAAGAACACACACACAATAGACGAATTATCAGATATATGGGAGATGACTGAGACACACATTGGGTCCTTGGCCTCCTGCCAGCTGTACTCCACACTGGGGTCAAAAACAGTCTGTCACCCTGAGTTTTGTTTTTGTCCCACCTTCAGCTTCTAAATTTCTCTCAAAAATCCTTGGGTTTACTCAGCATCAACATAAGATCTGTAGGAAGTCAGAGCCTGCCAAGCAAGGAGCCATTTGCTACCATGTCTTAGTCCTGTCAGAAAAGTCAAATGGGAAGTCAAGAATGACTAAAACACAGATTCTGCTGAAAATAACATGAGGACTTCTGCTGAAATGAGATGCATGAAAGCAGTGCCCAGTCGCTGGTGACTGCAGCCTGTCAAGTGAACTGAGCAGGCAGAGAAGCAACACTGGCTCCTCAAAGCCAAGTCAGAAAAGGGCTTTTCATACCTATAGGCCCACACTTCCTTGAACTCCTGTCCTTGGATTTCAGGGCTGTTTTGTTACTAACTCTGTGAACTACTCAATCACCCCTTTATGTAATTTGCCAATTTCTAATTATAAAATACTAAAATAAAACCCCTGTGCTTTGCATTTCCTCCTCTATTGCTGCATCTGTTTCTACTCACATGCCTCTTTCCCTTCTTGAAGCAACAGAGCAGCTGCTTTTGGATTTCCCTCATCACAGCATATTTATATTAAAATTTCTTAGCCATGAAAAATTATTTATATTTCAGGACAACCCCTTAAAGTGGATTTTAAAGCTAGAGGGAAATCTCCTTTACATGGAGATTAACAGAAGTGCTAAAAAGCTTATAGGATCCTAGAGCCAAAAGTATCTGTGAAGATTGGAATGCACTAAATCAGAGAAGAAGCAGGACCTAAATTAAGTGTTAGAATACAGGCCATCAGGTAGAACCTAACCTCTGTAATCTTCCCTACTGATCTCAAGAAATCCAGCACTGACAGTCTTGGAATGTATGCTGCCTTTATGACCAATTAGTACATACAGTTCCTTTATGTTATATAAAGCCTTGCAACAAGCTTACTATTCTCAAAGTCCACCCAATAAATACAAATGCTAGGAACGATGACAGCAATGATAATCCAGATGGCAACAGGCCTCAATGACAAGCAAGGTGATATGAATGGGTGAGGAAAATTAGCTTGGAGGGTGTGCAAAGGTATTGTAGAAAATTATTCTGGAAAGTATAATTCCTTGGTGTCTTTTCTCTCCACATTGGTTCAGAGATCCAAGGAGTAGGTGAACAAAAGAAGAAAACTGCTAAGGAAAAGCAAGTACTTGAGGATCTGCCAAATCTTACATCCATGCAGTTCTTTAGGTTCCCTTTAAATGGGAGCTTTCTAACCTGAAAGGATCACAGGATGTCCCTTGCTTTCAAACTGCCAGCCTTGTTATTTGTGCCTCTAAATTTCATCATTGCACTTACAAAGCCTGACTAGCTTACCTCTTAGGTGGCCCTATCACATTTTGACTGACACCATTTAGGTCTAGAAGAACTGTCAGCAGATCACACACAACTTTTCACAACAGACCTTGCAGGAAAGAATACAAGATCTTTGTTAGTGGAGAGAGAAGGTTTTCTTTTGGGTTCAGCACCTAAACTGCCTTAGTGAAGTTCTTTGGAGGTTAGGTAGTTGCAACACAAGACCAAATGACAGGACTCGAATAGCTGGCAGAGCCCCTCATTTGGGGGCCACACCTGGATGCAGTGCTCAGCTGGAGACACACGGTGAAGCACGGGCCGGGCCGGCAGGGCTGCTGCTCTGGAAAAAGCCAGTGGTGTTCCCCGATGGAGCAGGGAACCCTGCAAGCCCTCTGCTGGCACCCAGAGCTTTCTGCATCCCAAGAGCCACCCAGAATACATCTTATAAAGGCAATGGATTAGTTTATTACTAAAGGCAATGGATTCATTTATTACTGTAGTTTAGATACACAGTTATTTTGATACCCTAAACCCTTAAGAATCTTTCCTGTTACATTTTCAGTATGAAGATCTGGGTACATGAACAGTCATGGACAACTCCATTCATAACAGTGCAGCAGGCAACCTCTGCAGCACTAAAGATTTTGCAAAAATTACTTTCCTCTACACAAAACACAATGGCTTAGTTGCACAGTCTAAAATCTCATCTGAAGAAGACTGCAGACCTCAGAACAACCAAAGTTGTGCAGGGGCTAACTTTGAGCACCAAACCTGTACTGTCCAAAGCTTTAAGCCTTTCAAAAGTACAACTCAGGGGAAGGAAATAATGTTTTGCTTCCCTTCAGCATATTTCATGTGTAGCTCTCACTCTCTGGGAGCTTTGGCGAGGATGCATCATCTGTGTTTATTTTACAGGGCCACAAAGAGTTATGGTGATTTGTGTGGCCTTGCCAGGGGCAGGATTTTATTCCAGTTTGA